TTTTTGACTATCCATATGACCACAGTGCCAGATCCATGTTTGTTTCTAACCGTCTCAAATCATTTTATGAAACTTACAGGAATATAGTATATAAATTTAGAGAGCGTGCATGCTCGTCCAACAACAGTATATTAACTAGTTTATGGAACAGTGATTTGAGATGGAAGTCAGCCTTGTTGCAGCGTTGGAATGAAATGCTGAACTGAGATGTTATGTGCAATTATGTAATAGCAAGCGAACTATTATTTCCTGTTTATGTTTCTTGTTCTTTCTAGTATTTATTTACTATTATTATTATTATTTTTTTTTGTGTGTGTATGTGTGGATATGGACTTATTTGTCTGAAATAAATAGTATATATATAAAAACGGCAAGTCCAATTGCTTTGATATTACATATATAGGTACTACATGTGGACCTCTCTCAGATTTGTTCATTTTGTAATGATATCTTTAATTCTCTAATTTTGGTGAATATTTTTGTCATTTTTGGTAAAAAGTGATATTTTCGACTTCTTGTTGAAAACCGCAAGTCCAATTGCTTTGATATTTACATATATAGGTACTACATGTGAACCTATCTCATATTTGTTCATTTCATGATGATATCTTCAATTCTCTAATTTTGATGAATATTTTTGTAATTTTTTGGTAAAAAGTGATATTTTCGACTTCTCATTAAAAAACGCAAGTCCGATTGTTTTGATATTACATATATAGGTACTACATGTGAACCTATCTCATATTTGTTCATTTCATGATGATATCTTCAATTCTCTAATTTTGATGAATATTTTTGTAATTTTTTGGTAAAAAGTGATATTTTCGACTTCTCGTTAAAAAACACAAGTCCGATTGCTTTGATATTACATATATAGGTACTACATGTGGACCTCTCTCAGATTTATTCATTTTGTAATGATATCTTTAATTCTCTAATTTTGGTGAATATTTCTGTCATTTTTCTTAAAAAGTGATATTTACGACTTCTTGTTTAAAACCACAAGTCTGATTGTTTTTATATTACATATATAGGTACTACATGTGGACCTCTTTCAGATTTGTTAATTTCGTGGTTATATCTTCAATTATCTAATTTTGATGATTATTTTTGACATTTTTGGTGAAAAGTGATATTTTTGAATTCTTGTTGAAAACAGCAAGTCCCATTGCTTTGATACTATACATATTGTTCATTTTCTAATGATATCTTCTGTTTTTTTATTGAAATGTGCACTGCTAACAGCGGAGCTATCTCAGACGATAGGCTGCTTGTTTTATTGAAATGTGCATTGCTAACAGCGGAGCTATCTCAGCTGCTGGCTGGCTGCTTGTTCTCTTAATAATAATCTTAAAATGGAGTTAATTGCCTAGATACAATTTGAACCGTTACATACTTTGTTTGGATTTTAAAGTAATGAATGTAGTCATAACAAATTATACTAGTACTTGCTAATGACGAAAAAGAATGTAACATCAATATACATGTAGCATAATCAAAAATTAAAAAAGGAACTATTTTCCTGTCATTTCTACAGTGTCTAGCTATGATCTTCTTGTCACACTTTGGCACAGCAAATTGTTTCTTCAAACATGTCTTGTCTCCTAAACGCTCCTTCAGTAAGGGACTCAAAATGCCAGCTTTTTAGTTCTCGTCCGAACGCAGTCCGAAAATGGGGACTTGTGCGTTGACCTTTGTTCGTCTGTGTGTCTGTGAGTTTGTGTGTCTGTGCGTATGTGTGTACCTGTATCTTAGACATGCCTGGACCAATCACATTCAAACTTCACACATACATCATACATAAGCACATCAATTAGTTTCACAATCTGATTTAGGATGGCCGAATGGTGGCCATTTTTCTGCTAAAAAATCATCAAAATCATGCATTTATGGATGGATTTTGTTTCAACTTGGTACTTACATTGGACATTATAGGACCTTGTCTTTTTATTTTTCAGATCAGATTTAAAATGGCCATTTTGTTTTAATAAATTCTAGTGCCATATCTCTGCCATGCTTTGACTGATTATGTTCAAATTTTATATATTCATTATATATCATGACATAAATATATTGGTTTGACTATCTGATTCAAAGTGGACAAATGGCAGCCATTTTTGTGCAAAAGAATCAAAAATCAAGCATTTCTGGCATTCTAGAACTGGATCTTGGCGTTTATGGATGGATTTTGTTCAAACTTGGTACATACATTAGAGATTATGGGTTCCTGATGCACGTCATTTTATTTCTCAGATCGGATTCATTATAACTGATTGGTGGCCATTTTGTTTAAATGAATGCGCTTCTAGAGACATATCTCTGATATGTTTTGAGTGATTATGTTCAAATTTTATACTCGTTGTGGTATTCAAAATGGCCGACTGGTGGCCATTTTGTTTTAATTAATGCTGTTCCAGAGCAATATTTCTCAATTTGGCAAGTACTCGCTTGATGATCAGAAGCAAGATGTCAATCATTTTAAGGTTAAAAAATCATCATAATCAAGCATCATTTTCTGGATCCATACTTCTGACATGTTTATGTTCCAACTATATTACTATAAACAAAACTATATATTTTAAATTTGATGCATGGCTTATTTATTCAATTTTCACACTCGCGATTGAAAATATTTTTTATTTGACATGCTTAATGTGTTTTATGATAATTAGTTTGGACATGCTTAGTGTTCGTTTATAGTAATGCACAAATCTGCAGTGTTTTATTATCTTAAACTGTTTTTCGCATTTTTCTTCAGTTTAAGTTTTGATTCACTACGGGCCCGCCGTCAAATCAAGTGCGGTCGAACTAGGACATTCAAACTTGCACTTATCATTCACAAGATAATTTAAGAAAATTCTTTGTCACAGAATAATAGTCTGTTAAAGGTGCCAAGTATGAAATAATTAAGGGTCAAAAAAACAAACCTGCATAGAAATATTTTGATTAGCAGGACACATTTAAACAATCTAGATTATGGACAATGCATGGCCGGGAATTTTGCAGTGTGCTCTCACAAGTGTGGATTTAGTCATTTTTACAAGGTTCATCATTTTTGTTGTCACTAGGTAATTATGTAAACATTGACTCTCCAGTTTGTGCAAACTTGTCCCTCTATACTTAGGCTTTTGAATCATATACGCTAAGTTATGGTTCTGTATGTGAAACAGACACAAAATTATTCAAAAACATCAAACTCTTCTCACTACCTTATAGTGTAACTGAATTGAGACATGTTTACCCAATTTATATACCTTTTCACTTGATTTTTTTATGTAATGTTGTTTATAAATAAATTTTGCACACAAAAAACGTCAATTGGCCCAATTCAGTTACACTTTAAAGTTGTTACCTAGATTGTTGTTCTAGACTACTCTTTTGTGCTTAGAGGCAAGGTTTTGCTTTCTATGTTCTTGTTTGTCTATATCACAATCATGGTGACATTAACATAGCAATATTTATGTTTCAGAACCAGTATATGATCCATGCTTGAATAATGAGTGTCATGATAAGGCTGATTGTATTGTACGAGGTGAAAGTTATTTATGTCAGTGTCAAACTGGATTTGCTGGCAATGGAAGATTTTGTGATGGTAATTATCATACATTAGTTATTGCAGCATACAATAGTTATATTGGTATTTTACATGCATTCCACTGGTTATATAGAATAACAAACACTCCATGCTGGAAACCCCAACATGTTGTTACACAACACATATTAAATAAAGTACACTTCCTTCAGTAATCAAACTATTTTAATTTGATTCTGTTTTCTGCAGATATTGATGAATGTATATCTGGTGTCAGTGACTGTGACAGTAAAGCCAATTGTGTAAACCAAGTTGGTTCATTCTATTGTACTTGTCTACCTGGTTATACTGGTGATGGTAAAACATGTAAACGTGAGTAAACTTCTGCTGACATCACAGCTCATATTATCATCAAAAAATATGGCACTCAAATGTTGTATAACATCTAGGGAACACCTCAGAAATATGAAATAACAAAAATTATTTAATATTGTGTGGTAGCTAATCAATACCACCTTGAATGGTTTAGCCTTATGCAATGAATGTCAGAGTTTCCATGGATATTAGACTCAGACTAAAACTATGAATGCCATAGTTTCCATGACTTTGAGACCAAACCTATGAATCTCATATATACCTTTGGTCAGACTGAAAATATAAATTGGATATCAGGGCACAGACTACTGGTACTGGTAATGCTAGTGAAAATGTTGCTAAGTTCTTTGTTGTACCAACGGTTACAGATTTCAAAAAGCAAATAAAATTAGAATATTGACTCATATGTTTACAGGTGAAGATGTTTCCCCATCTGCAGGAGCATTCTTACTGTTTGCACAAGGAATGGGATTATATCGTTTACCATTGAATGACTATGAAATTGGTGGTAGAGTAGTTATGAAACCAAGACAGATAGCAATAGGTGTTTGCTATGATTGTAGAGATGAGTTCTTTTATTGGACTGATGTGTCAAACAGACGTATTTATAAATCACGATATAATGGAGATGATACTGAGGTTGTAATTAACTCTGGTAAGTCATACCACCATGTGTTCCCTTTTAATAAAACACATTCTCTTATGGGAAATTAATTATCTGCACTATGGACATATTGTGTCAGTTATACGTGATAAATCTGGCCTAAGCCATTTAAAAGCAGATGTCACAGTGATCGTCAGTTGCGGTCATGGTAGTTTCACTCTGTTTTGGGACTTAATTGTACTGTGTGTTATTTATAAATTTTCAGGAAACATGGTGATTTTTTTTTTTTTTTAATGATGCTAAAATAAAGCAAATAAAACAATGAGGGATACGCTAGTGAGGTATTCAATAGGAGATTACTTTTTGGACTATTGTTATGCATTTATCATTTACTATTATACCCACTCATAATAAATCAAACGCCGAGAGAAACGTGCGCGTACACAGGGTGTGTGCTTGTTATGTGTAATAGCCAATATTCTCAAGGCTGAGTTGTTAACGCTCAAGACAAGACTTCACAATCTTTTGGCGAGGTCTGTCGTTGAGAAAATGACCGATTTTTGTTACCGTGAAAGCTTATGGAAATTTTCTGGGAAATGTAGAGAACATGGCAATAAAAGATTACGGGATAGGGGCAAGAAAAGTACATATTGAACGCTAACTACATTGCAGTGTTCTTCCTAGGCCTCGGGTCCGATACTGTTCTTTTTGAATATAGATTGAAAACTGATGACTTTTTCAGTAGCGTTCCAGACATTGCAAGATATATATATAATAATCAGTGATTCACTACTATTGGGTTAAAAAATTATTTACGATCATTAATATAGTGGTCAGGGCTATCCATTCGACCCAGTACTGACCTGTTACGACACCACGAGCAGAGAAACGGAAGGCTGAATTCCTCGTGTTTAGCGGTTTCAATTCAAAGTGGCTACACTTAATCCATTGATTAGGCATACACTCGACAGCAACGGCAAGAAAGCTTGTCAGTTTTATTCAAAATAAAAAATTGTTATTTTATGCATTATGGCTACACAACGTGACAGAAAGTCCTTCCATGTGATCTAATATTTGTAAACAATCTACATGTATTTGCATAGGACTCCCAGTGTCTTCTCCTCGAGCAGACAGTACTGAACAAATTTCAATCATTGGCGTGTGTGTAAGGGCTGGACCACTTACTATCATTGGCTCCAAGTCCGGACCGGAATTAAACCGCGATGTTTTTATTTACTTTTTCTGGATGTTGTGCAGACAACTTTGCAGTTGTACGAAACTTTTGCCACCTTACTCCACCAGTCACTGTCCTGAGGTTGCATCACCTGGCCTCTTAAACTGGAGACATTTAAATAAAGATGTGCACATCTGACAAACCACGATGACGTTGACCTAAATTTGATAATCAAACTGTAGAGCAGTCCCCTGCCCATGTGAATATTATATACCAGTAACAATTCTCCCTCAAAATATGGACAACACACCCTTAAAAAACTCAACTCTAATTGCCCTTGCAAATAAGACAAATATTTGTGACTTGTCCTTGTATTAGCTATATTCAACTTGTTGCTCATTTTCCTTTGTATTTCTGATATATTAATCAGACAGTAATGTTCATGCAATCTGAATTCCCAGCTTCGAGATGGCTCAGCCAACTCTTGTTTTTTTTGTTTTTTTTAATGTGATTTGTGTTGTATTTAACATAATTAGGGGCTACAAATTCATCACAATTGTTATCTTGCCCATATCATCAAAGATGAAAAGGTATATTAAGGGGAAAATGTCTGTCGTTGTTGTTGTTGTCACCATCGTTAATAATTGTTAATGTGTGAACAATAACTTTACTAATTCTATTCCAAATTTTATCAAACTTGGTCACCTAATTCATCAGTATAAAATCTTCCCTTAATTCGAACAACAGATGTCCTGTGTGAAAATATCATGCAAAAATTGAGAAAGTAGTCAAAATCTGATAAAAAATTTTGCTGCATTGAGTATCACTTTTCATTGCTGTCTGCTGCAATATTAGCTGCATAGAATATCACTTTTCATTGCTGTCTGCTGCATTATTAGCTGCATGGAATATCATCTTTCATTGCTATTTGCTGCAATATTAGCTGCACAAAATATCACTTTTCATTGCTATCTGCTGCAATATTAGCTGCATGGAATATCATCTTTCATTGCTATCTGCTGCAATATTAGCTGCATGGAATATCACTTTTCATTGCTATTTGCTGCAATATCAGCTGCATGGAATATCACTTTTCATTGTTGTCTGCTGCAATATATGCTGCACAAAATATCACTTTTCATTGCTATTTGCTGCAATATCAGCTGCATGGAATATCACTTTTCATTGTTGTCTGCTGCAATATATGCTGCACAAAATATCACTTTTCATTGCTATTTGCTGCATTATTAGCTGCATGGAATATCACTTCCCAGTGCTATTTGCTGCAATATTAGCTGCATGGAATATAACTTTTCATTGCTATTTGCTGCAATATTAGCTTCATTGAATATCACTTTTCAGTGCTATCTGCTGCAATATATACTGCACAGAATATCACTTTTCATTGCTATTTGCTGCATTATTAGCTGCATGGAATATCACTTCCCATTGCTATTTGCTGCAATATTAGCTGCATGGAATGTCACTTTTCATTGCTATTTGCTGCAATATTAGATGCATGGAATGTCACTTTTCATTGCTATTTGCTGCAATATTAGCTGCATGGAATATCACTTTTCATTGCTATTTGCTGCAATATTAGCTGCATGAAATGTCACTTTTCATTGCTGTCTGCTGCAATATTAGCTGCACAAAATATCACTTTTCATTGCTATCTGCTGCAATATTAGCTGCACAAAATATCACTTTTCATTGCTATCTGCTGCAATATTAGCTGCATGGAATATCACTTTTCATTGCTATTTGCTGCAATATCAGCTGCACACAATATCACTTTTCATTGCTGTCTGCTGCAATATATGCTGCACAAAATATCACTTTTCATTGCTATCTGCTGCAATATTAGTTGCACAAAATATCACTTTTCATTGCTGTCTGCTGCAATATTAGCTGCATAGAATATCACTTTTCATTGCTATTTGCTGCAATATATGCTGCACAGAATATCACTTTTCATTGATATCTGATGTAATATTAGCTGAATGGAATATCACTTTTCATTGCTGTCTGTTGCAATATATGCTGCACAAAATATCACTTTTCATTGCTATCTGCTGCAATATTAGCTGCACAAAATATCACTTCCAAGTGCTATTTGCTGCATTATTAGCTGCATGGAATCACTTTTCATTACTATTTGCTGCAATATTAGCTGCACAGAATATCACTTTTCATTTCTATCTGCTGCAATATTAGCTGCATGGAATATAACTTTTCATTGCTATTTGCTGCAATATTAGCTTCATTGAATATCACTTTTCAGTGCTATCTGCTGCAATATATACTGCCTAGAATATCACTCTTCATTGCTATTTGCTGCATTATTAGCTGCATGGAATATCACTTCCCAGTGCTATTTGCTGCAATATTAGCTGCATGAAATATAACTTTTCATTGCTATTTGCTGCAATATTAGCTTCATTGAATATCACTTTTCAGTGCTATCTGCTGCAATATATATTGCACAGAATATCACTTTTCATTGCCATTTGCTGCATTATTAGCTGCATGGAATATCACTTCCCATTGCTATTTGCTGCAATATTAGCTGCATGGAATGTCACTTTTCATTGCTATTTGCTGCAATATTAGATGCATGGAATGTCACTTTTCATTGCTATTTGCTGCAATATTAGCTGCATGGAATATCACTTTCCAGTGCTAGTTGCTGCAATATATGCTGCACAAAATATCACTTTTCATTGCTGTCTGCTGCAATATTAGCTGCAATATTAGCTGCATGGAATGTCACTTTTCATTGCTATCTGCTGCAATATTAGCTGCATGGAATATCACTTTTCATTGCTGTCTGCTGCAATATATGCTGCACAAAATATCACTTTTCATTGCTATCTGCTGCAATATTAGCTGCATGGAATATAACTTTTCATTGCTATTTGCTGCAATATTAGCTTCATTGAATATCACTTTTCAGTGCTATCTGCTGCAATATATACTGCACAG